CGAATCGATTCAGGTCTGTACTGTCTGTACTCGAGTGCTTTGGTTTGCAAAGCGACCCACGTCGCATGTGTCATCTGACGGCTGACACTCTCCCTGTGGGAGCTCCATCCAAGGCACTAACGTATCCAAAGCACTTTGACATACTGGAAGACCTGAGCGATGATGTGGTAGGTGGAGGAGCATGAGTAAACGGTAGGTGTGGAATGTCGTTGGAACCAAGGGTCTTGGGCTCCTTGTCTACTGACGCCGTCCGACCCGTTGTCCTTGCTCTGCACCCACTCAAAGTAGCAAGCGCTGCGAAGTGCGAAGAGCAAACCATGAACGGCCCCGGCCATGGAGTCTAACTCCTCATTGTTACTCCGTCCCCCCCGGATGAGGGACATAAGGGCTGCGATATTGTCAACGAAACAGATGCCATGCATCCCTCTCGCAGACGAAGCATTGTAGGCTAACCCCATATATACTGTCAAAAGCTCCAGTTGGGCAATCTTGGCCTCATGATGCGACCAAACCTCAAAAATCTCAGGAAGAATGTGGACAACATAGGCTCGACGGTGGCCTTGGGGATCAATGAAAAGCACCCCGGCGGAGCCCTCGCGTGGCAGATCTTGCGCAGCATCCGAAGCTGCCAAGTACCGGCGCTGCCGCACTAGGCTAAGGGGAAGTTCTCGCTCCGGCTTCAACTGAAGGACTGGTAGAGCTCGTCTGTCATCTGGGCCTGGGAGGAGCACTGGCGCTCTTTGATACTGTGAAGTCCTGATCGTCCGAGTTTGCCCAAGAACCCAAGGCAACCGAAGAGTTTTGCTGCAAGGCCCGCTGGGAATCGTTGCGTTTGGGCAGCTTCAGCCATAATGTCGGTGACCTTGGTCACAAGGCGGTCACGGGCCCAAAATTTCACCGGAGCACCCTGGTGGCAGCCCGCCACAGCATCGGATTGGGCAGCCAGGGACTGATGTTTCTCCGCTTGGAAAGGTGAACCGAAGCAGGTCGCCAGCTCATTGACAAAAGCTTGACCGGCGCCTCCCATAATGCCAAAGTGCTGGATGGTCAGGTCGTCAAAGTGCAGACTGCATGGTCGTGCAGTAGGGCAGTCGACGGCAGGCTGCCTGAAAGAAGCGAGGGAACCTGTTGAAGGAACACACGGCGTTGGGGAGCCCGAACAGCGATCCATAGTAACGTCGAAAACGTGGGGCTCTAGCGTGGCGGTCATAGTCCGCCGCGATGGCCATATTGCTGTGGTCCGGCCGCATTGGAATGCGTCGATAGGCGTTGGGCTGGTTTTTACCACCAGACCAAATGCCTGCCCGCAGGAGCTCCTCCCTGCGCGGAGATGAGGAGGCGGCTTGCCATAGAAGCTGAACACGCAGGCCAGGTTGAATGCTTGTGTGAGGGCGCTCTGGCCTCCGTCAGCAAGCATCGTCAATAACACGAAGTTTGCGGAATTTAGGGAGGGCCCACAAAAACCTTTGGCTTGGTCCTCTTCTCCCGCTTGGACAATAGCCTCGTCATGTTCACTGGGACGGAGGCTCTGAACAATGCGGCCAGCACCTCGTTGAGCATCTTCATAGATGGAATCACTGGTCACACAGTGGGCTGGCTGTGCCTTGTAGATGGGGACATGAAGCGAAAAGCAATGGTGAGAAACCATAGATCAAACTTGCGACAAATGTCGTATCAGGCCAGCCAATGAAAAGCATGACAAGCCCAATGAGCGCAATGCGACGCCCCTGCGTAGCCGATCTGAAGCCAGGAGCTCGGTAGGATTGTAATTGCTGAGTGATGGGCCACATCCGGCGGCCCAACTCCTGAAGCCAGCGTCCAGTGCGCCGTCGCGCATCACGGAGTTTGACCCCTTGTGCGGTGTAACCCGCGGCCGCGAAGATCAAGACGTCGACAACGCCCATAGCTTCAAACGCGGTCGGCCGCTGCTGAAGTTCCAGTGCAAGCTCAAAATAGCTGTGCGTTCCAAGGGGCCCACCAACCGAAAACCGAAGGAATGTCCGCCCCAGTCAGGGCGGTTCTGCATGTAGGTGAGCCACTGGAAGTGAGAGTCATCAACAAGGAGGTCCTCAATCATGGGCCATTTGAAACCGTCCCAATTGACCTCAGGGCAAAGGGCCATAAGGCTTGCGATCACAATCTCCTGCGAGAAGCGAAGCGGTATGGCCCGGGCAGGGCGAATGCCGGCTGCGACCAGCGAGACACGCCGGAGGCGCTCTCTTTGCCGCTGGCGACGTCGCCCGGGACCAGACCAGCGCTCGAAGGATGTCTCCGTGGCAAAGGACATTATGAGGGCAATCGCACACGAGGTTATTCTTGAAGTGGAGCGACTGCAAGTCAGCCAGGAGATGGTCCTGGTCTGCAATCCACCTTGCGTAGTGAAGGACACTTTCCAGGGTGGTACGGCCTTCCCCGGCCTTGAATGGGTTCTGCCATTCAGTCAACGCCCATCGATGAGAAAAGTGGCCAGGGCCGATGTAAACATCATCCTTGTGGAGCTGGGACCGGTTTTGAAAGAAATCACCAGGCGTTTGGTACATAGGATGCATCTTCCAGCGGGGCCTCTCACAGGTGGAAGCCCATGACAGTCATCAAGTCCTCCAATTCGGATGGCTGAAAGTGAAGTATAATGGCCGAACGTCGCCAGAGGTGGCGATAGGTGGCAACCTAGGAATGGCCAAGATTCCATACCGTTGAAGACCAGACTCGGTGTGTACTCGGCTTCAGTGAACGTAGAGAATTGGCCAATTATTTGGGATGATCTCCACTCGCTGGGGTCATGGATGTGTCCGCACCTGACGGCAGGCAGGGACGCAATTTCGAGCACATTGCGCCGAAACTTCTGCGCTTTGCGTCGGGCCCGGTGGACTAGGTGGTGAAAGTGAAATGCGAAAGGATCGCGTGAGCAGCCGGGCACGAACGCAGTATAGAGTCTACCTTGATAATTTTGATTTGGTGGAGCGCTTTGACCCCCCCACGGCTCAAGCCCTTGGTGGCCAAGTTGCAGAGGCGGCGCACCCTCCAAAGACACATGCATCGTAATCCAAATCGAACCATTCACCCTCGTGCTGGACAAAATGCTCGACAGGGTCCCACCAGCGCAATGACCTCAAAGGATTTTCACGGAGACAGGCAAGGTTGCGCTGGGCACCCCAATGTTGCAACGCCAACAAGAAGTGACTCGAGAAATTGCCGGCATCCACACGTTCTTGCTTCACAGGGTCCAACCCCGCAAGGCCCCGTGGGAAATCCTCAGACCGCATTAGAGAACCACGGCGATTTTCACGAGCCCGAGACTTGGTAGCACAGCTCATGGCCCCTGCAACGGTGGCAACTTTCGGAAGGACCTCTAATAGCCCGATGGACGCGACACGTCCAAGTCCTGGTCAATCTCGATGTCGATGGGTGTGATGATCTCCCATTGGCACCACAAGAAAACCTTGGACAGGGGGGCATGGACACCGCTGAAGATGTCGAGGAGGATAGGGCGTGAGGATTCTTCGGACTTGCGTAGGTCAACGGACTCCAATTCATCCAAAAGGAACGAAAGTCCTTGAACACATGATTGTCCAAAGGTTGGCCTCGCGCCCCCCCCGGGCAGAGGAGCGGCCCTCTTTTCAAGCAGCCTTTGGGCAGTTGGCGAGCGCTGGAACGATCCGCAAACGCGCCCTGACTGCAAGACAACCCCGCAGCGGTGAGCGCCGCGTTCTCAGTGCTTCTTGGTGCGGCGCTGATTGCGCTGAAACGCCGGGCACAGCCGGGTCCCGTCGCGGAGGCTGAAGACCACAGCTCCAACTTGTCCAGCCGAAGCTGGGGCCGACGTGGCCCCACTCGATGCCGGACCCGTAGGGACGGTAGGTGCTGGCAGTGCCCTGTTAACCAAAGAGCGTCACGCTCCCTCATCACAGCCCCGATGATCACGCCCAAGGTAGTAGCACCCGTGCACCGGGCAGCCCATTGCCCACGTTCTTCCACATCGAGGTGTTGGAGCAACTGCAAGCGTCGGGACTCCGGAGTGCAAAGGACGAGGTCATGGCAGCGACAAAAGTAGGACAGCAAAACGTCATAGGGCACCTGAACATAGAGCAAGCTATCCGTAGCGAGCGTCTCATGGCGCAGGCGGCGCCGGCTCGATCGGGCGGCACCTGACAATGGCAAGGGCAAGGAAGTACGTCTCCATCTTTGCCATGTAGGATAGCCAAGACTTCGTAGTGGGCTCGTCGTCGTCATCCTCCTGAATGTACCGGTTGTCCGTCAGGCGACGGCGCTTCTGGCTGTGGGTGCGTTGGAAGGTCAGGGATCAGTCCAAAGGTCCATCACTTCAAACTGGTTCCGAGACAGCTGCCGGCTGAGTTGGACATGAGGCGATCAGAACGGAACTGCCTCGGCTCTGGCCTCAGGCGGTAACGACGAAAGAAGGCCTCTTTCAATCGTTCCAGTTCCTGCTTCGGCAGGAGGGCTTCCTCCTCCGTGGGAGCGGGTGGCAGGCTGGCCGCAGCGCGCTCCGAGTTCAAGGGCCTTACAGGCAGTCCCAAGCGCACCCGAGCAGCCTATCTCTTCATAGCTGGGGCCCGCGATGGTGTCAACGAACAAGCGCTTCACCTCATCCTCATTGCGGGCATAGTGGCGAAATTCTGCCAAGGTGCGGATCCCCAGCTCAATGATCTCATCCTTGATGCGTTGCTCAAAGTTGAATTGAACAGACAGGGCCGTGAATGTGTTTTGTGGGGCGGCGAGCTGCTTATAGGGACGGCCGCCATGAGATCCAAGATGAATGACACAGAGCGATCAACAAAAGAAAGCTTGAGCGAGGGCTGCAAATGCATGAAACTGAAAAGACAAAACATCACAGTTCTCAACTGACAAGCAAAGCATTTGAAACGGTCGGACAAGGAGGACCTTTTTCAAAAACCATGGGCAGTCTGCTCCAGAGCAGCTAGCCAAGCCGGTCCGCAAGCTCACCAAGCTCGCGGCCCAAACATTGCAATGCAGGCCAACCAATAGCATCGCCAGCTGCACAGGCCTCATGGTGAGCATCGCAAATCGGGCGCCCATCCTCTGGGAGAAGGAGATATTGCTGAGCCAACTCGTCACATGTATCATGGACCAGCGGAGCGTAGGGAGGCATTTGGCCTGGTCCAGGAATGGACTCTGTGGTGATGAGGCTAATCTGGGGGTCCGCGTAAGAGCTCGTCCATACAAGTTTCCCAACGGGCTTGCGAGTACCCTACGGGAAGCTCGTCCCAGAGTGCCATGTGGAGGTCCTGGAAGAAGTGTAGCCCAGCCAATCGAGGCTGATGCCCCAAACGCTGTTTTTGAGAATCATAACGTGTGGCCAGTGGTGGTTGTCTTTGACGACTGGTCGGTCCACTGACTGAGGGCCAGCTTTTCTGTCTCCGACAATCCCACGTAGCCAGCGAGCGTGGGCAAGACCCTTCGAAATGAATATGAGGACAATCTGGTAGCATCCATAGCGGCGCTGAAATGAGGGCGCAAAATACGGATAACCTGAGCAGTATCCACAGGTTGGGCTGTCGCAGAATCGAAACCAAGCCAATGCCATCGGCGAAAGGCAGGTCCTGAATGAGGCCGGACCTTGTTGAGGTGGTTTCCCAAGATCTGCAAAAGGTCTAAGGTGCCACAGTAGCGTGGTACGCTCCATGCAAATCCACCTCGGCTCCCGGTCTTGCCCTTAAGACAAGGATGCCGCCATTGCCTCCCACAAGGTAGCTGCGTTGGAGGCGCGTGGAGCGGACGACTCCGAAGCACATCGCATATGCACAGAAGATCAAGGACCAATGTGGATCAGCAATGGTCAACTCCAACGTGCCCAATAGGTGCAACACCATGGAAGGTTCAAGCCCAAGCGTGGCAGCTTGGGCCTGTCCCAGGCGAGCACCAAGCCCGGAGCGCGGCTTTGTGACCTCGGCATGTCGAGGGGAGGCGCATGTTGCGGACCAGCCAACCCAGTGAAGTGAAAGCCCGAGTGGGTGCTGCATGTTGGCGAATGAAGGTAGCCAGCAGATGCTTATCAGGCTGGGTGACCCCTGACGAAGTGAGCACCACTTGTAACTCCTGCCATGTATGAAGAGCCCGCTTGACCGTCTGCAGGAGGTGTTTGAGACGCGCCTCAAAGTTGGCAGTGAACTCAACGAAGCGGTGGGCAGGGGGGCGGCTCAAGCGCAAGGAGGATCGCCATGAGCTTCGGCAGGAAGGAGATGGCGCCCCCCTCAAAGCCACCCGACTGGTGGCCCCGGGCGCTAGGCCGGACAGGCCCAGAAAACGAGGGAGCAGGTCGTGATGTCAAAGTCGGTGAAGTAGTAGGACGAGTGGCCGCCTGTGACACCTGCTCGCGGCTGAACAAGCCAATCTCGACTTCACGGCAGGCCTGCTCCCAGCCATCGGCAATGGCACGCCCCTCCAGCAAGGCCTCCTCGTACCTCAAGAAGTAGAAGGCCAGGTCGGGGGCTGCCTCGATGTGATGAGCCGCGCACCACCTATCGAGCTTCGCTTGCTTGACGGCACGGCGCGTCTGGGCGTCATCAGCGGACATGGCAGCGACGAAGTAAACCAGAGAAAATTTAATCTGAGGGATCAGCAGTGACTCTGCTCCTCAGGGAAGTCTCCCCAGTTTGGCTTGAGCATTCAAACAACGGGGAGACGTTGACTTGACGCTTCCCAAATAATTCCTCATCACCGACCCTGCCTACCTTGAATGAATGAATATATAGAGGTCGCAACTTCTTAGTCCTGCACGGCAGCCTCGATGGTTTGCTGAAGCTCTTGGAGATCCTGCTGCCGTTCCTGGGTCACCCAGTGGCGAGCCATTCGGCAACCGGCTGCTGCCGTGGGGGACGGTTCTTCAAATGCTGCAGGACGAGAGTCCTGTGCCAAGACTGAGCAGGCCAAGCGGCAGAAATCTTTTGCTCGGCCTCGGCATTCGCTTGCGTGCCTCAGTGTCCACCCTGCTGAGTAGTCCAGAAACCACACGTCTTGGATGCTCCATCTGGCTTTTCATGTAAGTCCCTCTGACACACTCCAAAACGTCGGCACTTACTGTAGCGTGCTTGTGGACGAAACCCAGCTGACAACGGCATCATTCGAGGAACTTAATGAGTAAGAATCACACCAACAAGCCTGCAATTGGCTTATGTTGTTGTAGAATCCCCAGTCAGTGGAACGTCAATTGTCTTGATGCAAGATACAGTATCATGGAGGGGAGGGAAGGGAAGGGAAGGGAAGGGAAGGGCGGATAAGGATTAGAAAATATTTGTGGTCTCTTACAAGGTGCAACTCAAAGGGCATCGTCACTTCTCTAGACTCCACCTACCACTACTCCAAATCAATTCAAATGCTTGGTGCTCAGTCTAAGTTTACTGGCCAACTCTCCAAACTCTCAGTCAGGGCGCAAAGCTTCAAGTTGTTTCGCAGGGACTGCAGCTGACGCTTGACGTTGGCCGTGTTTGTCCCCTGCTTGGTCTTCTTCGCCTGCAAGGGTCGCCACTCTGTAACTCGAGGCTCATTCCGTTTCATTCTTACTAGGAGCAATGTTCGCTACCAGGAGCAAAGGGCATCGCTGCTAGGAGCAAGGACGCTACTAGTAGCTCCTGGCCTTACTATTAGGAGCAAGAAGCTACTAGGAGCAAAGGGCTCTGTTGGATCTTCTCCCAGGGCTCTTTTTGCCTGAAGCCCCGACTGGCGGGAGGTTACCCCGTATCCTCGTATCCTCGATTCCGAGGTGAAGTCCACACCCCGACTGCCACAAGCTCTTGAACCCATGCAACGGCATACCGACGAGTGCTTGTTCTGTGCACACTGAGGGAGCAACCAACGAGATGGATCAGAACCGGACAGGATCTGGACTCCCCGAACAGCACCACAGCGCTCGTTGTTAAATAGCTTCATCTCTGCATAAACTCTGTCTTCAAACTTCTCCTCCCACGCCCTCACCACCCCTAAAACATGGAACAAAGGTTTGGGGGTTCTTGAACAGGAGCTAACAGGTTGTAGGGACAATAGGCTCAAACATGAATCAATTGGAGTCCGTTCAACAATAAATAGACTAGCTTAAACCCTCGCTCGGGATGTGAACTGAAAACATCAGCTGATTCACTGAGCTGACTGGTGCTTGGTCGGCAATAAGGGAATGACCCCTCACCATTGTTGTGTGCTTAACGGTCCACACCCTAGCTCAGCGGTGGGGTAGTGGCCCACCCGGCAATTGAACCACTAGGCCATACTAGGCCATACCGGCCCTCTTGACCCCTCGCCGGATTCCTTCCTTCATTCCGAGCCAGTCGCACCAGTCGCTGATTTCCTGCCCAGCCTTGGGCTCTAGCTTCAAGGCGATGGTGTCGCGCTTGTGAATCGCGCGCTCCATCTCGACGATCATCTGCTCCTGGACACGTGTTCGACTCAGGACACATGCGGAAATCGATGTTAAATACTTATTGAAATGGCTATGCGGCTATGCGGCTATGCCATGCTGGTACTATGGTGTATCTTTCAAGTGGTGCTCACTTGGGCACAGAACTTTTTGTCGAGGTATGTGGACTCCAAACTGATGGATGGTGTCGACTGGGCTCGCGTCCTGTCGTCGTTTCAACTGCTCTAGCCGCAGCTCCATTCGATGGATCTCCTGGAGTCGTTGAATGTGAAACTCCACTTCAGGAAGAGAGAGACTTCAAAGGAATATCGCAACCTCCTTCAAGAGAAGCTGTTTCTGAGCACCACATGAGATACAGTACCGTATTTGCCTGGTGTGACTTTCGAATGGGTCCTTCTTCATGGCGGCGGCATCAGCCTGCCCCACATTGGGATCCAAGGCAGCTTGCCTCGATGGGATCTTTTTGCTCATGGACCATGGTGTTGGCTCATTGAAACGGTATCGGTGTCATCCTAAGACTATTCTCTCTTCATGACCTTTACGGGTTTAGGGTTGCCTGTCCTTTGCGTCGGCTTTTTTGCAAGGAGTGGCTCGACTCATCATCTACCAATCTCAACCCAAGCATCCCCAATACAAGCTGGAAAAGGCAAAAAGCACCTCTGGTGCCTTGCATGTTTGGCCTTCAACCCCTCGTGTGCCAAACATCTTCAGCGTTCACCCCTCGTTTGTCTACACCGTCGGATCGACCCTTTGAGTCGCTGGCATCTCTCTTTCCAAGGTGATCTTCCGCTCCCAAAGAAGAACCTGCATCCAGTGCTCATACGAAACTGATTGGCCGCTCATACCAGCCCCAGACACAAGTCTTGGGCCTAATTAGCTTGAATCGCAGCCTCTGGACCAACTCTGATGACTGTCTTTGGGGCCAGCTGAGCAAAGTCCACAAGTGCTCAAGAAAACAAGTCTGACTTTGATATTATGCTCCATTCTCTGTTTTATTATTATCGTAGTACAAAGCCTTGAGAATCACCTGCCAACTCTCTATGCTGCATCGCTTCCACCTGACGCTCAGATTCCAGGATATCCTGGTTCATCTGGTCCTTCTCCATTCTAAGCTTCTCGACATCACGTTCCTTGGCCCAAGTTCTCATGTTGCTTTCAGGGTTTGCTGTCTTCGAGATTTGGGCGGGGTATATACTTTGTGGAGTGCCTGAAATACTTGAACACTCTCTCGATCTCCTACTTCCTACGTGTTTGGAAAGGATTCACAACACCACTTCTGCACCTCGCGTGTTCTCCAATGCAAAACGGATGTACCATATCTGGGAGCACCTGCAGAACGTTTGCGAATGCACATCAGCCTATACCTGGATTTTAATATATATATAGAGAGAGAGAGAGAATTATATAGAATGTAAGCGTGAATCTGGGTTGTGGGTCAAGAGGATCCATTTGCGGCTTAAACGGACAACAGTGACAACACCTTGCGTGCTTGAGTGACTGGAGTCCCGCACCAAAGGACCAACAGATTCCTGCAAACTGGGAAGACTGTCTTCCTCTGCCGGTCATTGCAGGCCAGGCTCCATGTCGAGGCACCTACAGATGGAGTAGAGGGCCCGTTTGCAAGAACGTTCGTTTGCGTGTTTGCAAGTGATCAATTCATCATCAATTGCCACTAGCAGCGCTACGCCACCAGAACATTTGAAGGTTTCGGAGGGGTTGACAGTGCATCTTCTTCTGCATACCTAGGGTAAGTTAACAGTACAGCCACGCAAGACATTGGCTTTTAAACTCAACCACGTCTCAGGGGCCTGCTCTCAATCTCCTTGAGCTTTTGGACAAACTCCAGCTCCATCATTTGATTGGAGTTGGCAATCTCATCTGATCGCGAGTCATTCTTCACCACAGCACCATTCATTCGATCCATATCAAAGCCTTGGTGGCTTGCCACTCGGCTCAATCTGCTAGCAAGTTCCGGGCTCATCCAAAAATGACCTCCAAAAATGTTCCCAAAGAAAAAATGAACAAAAAGGATCGATGGTGGATTCTAAGGCACGAAGGTGCTTCATGTTGTTCTCCAACTCTCGGATCTCCTTGGGACCAGTGGATCAGCACATCCACCAGCTGAATACCAAACCGTCGTTCTCGAGAAAAGGCATGGTGTAGGTTACCAACCTACAGCCCTAGGTTGTTGCTCCAACAAGTCATGCACATCCAGCCTGCGTGCAATGGATGTGTTTCCTTACAATGCCTTACAATGTTTGTTGTTCTTTTGTTTTAAGAACAGGCTGCAGGGAGTTTTCTTTGTTTTTGCGTACAAATACAAGCTGCAGGTTGTCACCCCGCAGGCTCTGTTGCCTGACATGAGAGCCGCACCGGAATATGCCTGACCCACAATCTTTGTTGGAAAGCTCCAGTGGACTCCATAGGACTTGTTGCTTCGAAAGTCTCTTAGGAGTCTACTTTGGATGGAAACAAATCCTATCAAGTTGAATGCCCTTGTTTCCCTCGCCGCCACAGCCCCTGATTCACCCGTCTGCATCTCCGAAGAAAAGAGCCAGGCCAAGCATCTTTTTCATGTCCTGATAGCTGACCCTCAATTCTGAGCTTCTTCCTGGCACCAGACGTGTAGATCTGCATGGTCTGATTCCTCTGATCCAATGCCAAACCACTATGGAAGAATACTCCCCACTGCTCTGACCAAAAGGCAAGTAACTCCTAGGCCCAAGTTCTTGGTGGCAAAAGAGTCTGCCATTCAGGCCACTTGCATCTCTGAAACACCTCCGGAGCATTATGCAGCATTGTCCCGTTTCTCATATGCGTCTCTTCTGCCCGGGGCACTGCTCTAGGACCATCTTCTTGTTTTTGTTCTCGTTGAGACTGGCCTGGGAACAATCTTACGAGAACAGTGAAGATGAGGACCTGTGCAGAACCAATGCGATACTAGGGTAGGAATGCAACACAATACGACTGCGGAACGGCCTTTGCATTTTCCAGTGCCGTGTTTTTTCTCTACTCACTGAGAACGTCTATAACTTGGCATGCTCGAAGACCTCACGCAAGCAAACCGAAAGCAGAGACCTTGAGCTTGTCCGTGTCGCTCGCCACCGAAAGCAGCTGCGTCTGCTTCTGGATCCAGTCCTCGCGGAAGAAGGACAGAACAGCCAAACCTTGTCAAAGTAATGCGAAATGGTTGGTTGCCGTAGGCTAGGCCTGTTAGTATGCCAAAGTGTCTTTAGAGTTGTGGAAGCCTCATTGTCTGTTCTGAATCCTGTAGGAGTTATTGATGAACTGATTAGCCATAGAGAATGTACAGTTTCGAAATGGCAGTCTGTTGGACTTGATCATCACAGTCTGCATCTTTGAGCCTTTTAGTTATATAGAGATGGAGTCAGTGAGCCAATGCGGACGATTCATTCTGCAGTGGCAAGACTTTGGATCGCCTCTGCCAACACCTGTCTCTACACTCCCACTGTTCCTTCTGCATGTCTGAGCATTCTTTGGTCAGCTCCGCTATGGCTTTTCGCCTAAGCACTGGCAACTTACTCACACAAATGCTTCACATGTCTCCTGTCTTTCCTCTTTTGCTTCCCATCGCCCAAAAGCAACTGACTCCCAGTGTGTATTCTAAGCTAGAAGCGATGGAACGACAATGAGCAAACGAGAATCAGACTACTGTATATAAGACTATGCTCGCATTAGGTCTTGGATGTATAAAGAGAAAGACAAGACGAGATGGCAGCATTGGTTGAAGAGGTCACATTCAACCACTCTTCATCAACTGTCGGTTCTTGTCCCAAGCACTTCCCAGCAACACATACCTGCACCAAGACACATGTGCTTCAGCTTTGCCTCCTGTGGGCCGGCCACATCCTCATCGTTGCCGATCTCAGCTTCCAACTTAGTCCTGGTGTGAGGCTGAACAAGTAAAGAAAGCAGAAAGCAGGACCATTCCCAAAGCCTAAGCAGGGAAGTGCAAGAAGCCCGATTTGTAGGATCTCACGTCATCTTTCAGAACAACCCTCGTTGCATGTGCTCGTCACACGGTTCGTCACACGGAGACTTTTCGCCGACTGCTTGGTCTGCCCGACAGCCTTGGGGCATATCCCCCAACGACGCACCAGGAAAACCAATTGGAGGTACTCTGATGAGTCTGAGTAGCAGTCTGCCACACTCATCCCAGACACCTGCAAAAAAAGGATCAGAGTCTCGTTTTTCAATGCTTTGAATGGTGGCAGGATGCCTGCCCATCCACCCATCTGTGAAGCATCGGTCTCCTCTTCTCATCATATTCTCTGTTGAGGCGATCAACAAAGAGCTGCTTCTTTTCGATCTGGTGATGCCTCTTTCGAATCTCCTGTTCCTGAGAAAGACTGCGCCGAGTGGATCGACCTCTACCAACAAAAACGCCCAAACGATGCAATGCGCAGAGGCTTGTGTGCGTAGAATTACAGAGGCTCCATGAAGGGATGCTGGAATTGATTATATTGATTGCGCCAACGAGGGTGCAGTTACAGTATTCATTGTATCCCTTGGGTTTGATAAGATAAACGTTGGGTTTTATCTCGGTTGATGTCATCGTCTGAGAAATTTCAAAAGCTTTCCAGCCGAGCAAGCAAGCTTAGCAGCTTGGTTGCTGCAAGTCACAGTATGTTCTATTGGATCTGTATTACAACACCATCAGACCCAGACAACGTCGATGCCACTCCAAGAAGTACTCGACTCTATCTGTCATCTCCGAAATTTACAAATATCAAGAAGGTTGTGTCATCTCCTCTGAAACCACCATTCAAAGAGAGAGCACTAGAAAACTCATCAATGAATTCGAAGGTGTTTAGTGCTCCAGTCCAGTGATGCAGGCCTATAAAACTGTAGGTTGCCAACCTACAGGTTCAATCATGACTTGAGCCAACCTAGAGTTGGTCGACCTACCTCCAACCCAACTCAACTATTTGGTTGCGGTGCTAGTGATGCACACCTACAAAGCTTGCAGGTCGCCAACCTACAGGCATGACTTGAGCTGACCTAGAGTTGGCCGACCTACAGCTTTCGAACTCCAACCCAGCTAAACTATTTAGTAGCGATGCTGGTGATGCAAACCTATAAAGCTGTGGGTTGTCAACCGACAGGTTCAATTGTGACTTGAGCTGACCTAGCGTTGGCCGACCTACAGCTTTCGAACTCCAACCCAGCTCAACTATTCAGCAGCGATGCCAGTGATGCAAACCTATACAGCTGTAGGTTGCCAACCTACAGGTTCAATCATGACTTGAGCTAACCTAGTTGGCCGACCTACGGCTTTCGAACTCCAACTCAGCTCAACTATTTGGTAGTGGTGCCAGTGATGCAAACCTATAAAGCTGTAGGTTGCCAACCTACAGGTTCAATATGACTTGAGCTGACCTAGAATTGGCGATTTGTCTTCGCAGTTCCTTCTCAAGCCTCCAAGTCCACGCCGAGTTGCATATTGTTCGATTAGCTTTTCTCGTTCGGCCAGTTCATCACCTCATATTCGGGCAGAGATGCATCGGTTTTGAGTCCCAGAAATCGTGATTTGCACTAATGCACAAATGTGGCGGCATAGGCATGCTAGGCTAGATGAGCCAAAACATACAATGCCATGGGTGTTCTTTCTTCTCTTTACCTGCCAGAACTTCGGTGGGCCGAACGAGGGGATCAGTGCCTAAAAGGCGGTGCTACCAAATCCAGCATGCAAACGTGGAGCTGCTGCCTCAGGTCACGGCTTAGCTGTTTGTGTCGGTCTTTGAGCATCTGGTTGTGCGCTTTCGTATTGAGGCTATCCACCTTGGAGAGGTTAAGCCCAATGAGTGCATGTCATACTCTGCATGAACAAAGAAAAAAGAGACAATTAAAGGACTGTAAGGCCCCAGTAAAGGGGCGTAGCCGTCTATCTATTTTCTATTCTTTTATGCACGCCAGCTGCTTTGGCTGCGGCTGCAAATGAAGTATTCCTATCTTGAGAATCATCAACCCTCAAAGGAGCTTCTTGCATCCCTTTGGGAGCTCTGTCTGAGTGCGTGTGCGTTTGTCACGTTTCAATGTCGTCTTGTGATATGCCCAGCCTGGCGATCCGGAGTCTGAAGTCACTGAAGACTCACCCTTAATGCAACTCCAAAGAGCAGTCACTCTGGCAATCTCATTGAGGAGATTCTGAGTTTCCACCTGGCGCCAGATACATGTGGAATGGATCAGTCGTAGCGTCCAAAGATATGGGCACCAAAGCTCCAGTAAACTGCCTACTAGTAGCTGCTAGCTCCGGGTCCCTGATACGTAACCTCCCGCAGTGGCCTCTTTGGCAGCAATCTCCTCGCGGATCTTCTTCATCCGCTTCCGGCCTTTGATGGTGGATTCAGCGGCCCCAAGTTCTATGAATTGTACCAAAAAAGACCTCAAGAACTTATTCATACTGAAACTCGTGGAAGGGAATCTAATGTATATAGATGGAAGATGATGGAAGTATGTGGTTGATCGTCGCCACCAAGAAGTACAGCCAAAACCGAGAATTGTACAAAGCCGCATGCATGATCCACTGTACCGTCAACAGACGATGTCCGCCTGAGGAAGTTCCAAACATGACAACTGGTGTTCAATCCCAGGAAGCAAGGAGAAAGCCACACCCCTGGCATCCCTGAACCAAAGAACAGGCCAGGTGATCACGCCATGACTGTAATTGGCTGCATGGTTCCATTCCACAATTGAATGAATATGAATGAATATGATACAACAATTCTAGGGCACAAAAAGCCCTGCAACAGCAACAACCCGCAGCAACAGTCGTGTCAATCTTTACTAAGTCATACTAAATCTCTACTGTAAAATTCGAGCCTGATTAATCTATAGGGTCTATACTGTAGGTTCTCTGGGCATCCCGTCTGTTCGCGGCCACCCGGTCACAGGTGGTCTGCTCGCTCATCTCCTTAAGCACAATCTTTGCTTAGTCAGCTAGTCAAACCGAGTCCGCCAGCAGTCGGATTATTGTACGCACTATGGCTAAGTCTCCCAAAGGCTTTTGGCTGTGTGAAGACCCATGGCTTCCCTCATTTTTGGAACACGTTTGACTTCAGCGCCGAAGAACGGCATGGCATTGCTTTCTTGTAGTAAGGCAGGTGTCAACCAAACATTTGTATGAGCACGAGCTCTCAAAGAAGATAAACAAACAAACTTCACTGGAGTCGAAGGCAACAGCCAAGCTCAGCTGAAGAAGAGCTTTGCACGCAGCTAAAAGCATTCACCAAGCTGTTACCGCGACATCTTTGTTGGCTAACTATGTCTAAGTGGGCAAGTGATGGACTGGCTTGATCAAGGGCATCGCTTAGGGTATCACTTAGGCATCGCTAGGCCCGAGCCACTAGTCTGGGGAGTCAAAACAGACGGTTGTAGTGTAGACCACAGTTGTTCTTTCCGACCGATGATGAATCGACAAAAATGTGATGCATCAGACTGAACACCCCAAAGGATCCCCAATTAAACTAAACTCATTAAATTGGAGCTTAAAAGAAAACTATTCTTTTGAGTTACTAGCAATGGCCTCCAACCTAACAGCGATGGCCTCCAACCTACAGTAATAGTGAACATGTCTGTGTCAAAAATTATTCGAGATCGAGCACGCCGAGATGTCGAGTCCTCTTCGATCTTTCCTACAATGGCGGTGATCTCCCGGGAGACGTTCTGCATATTTCGATCGAGAACTTCAAGTGAGCGAGTTTGCTCAGTAAGAGCTCCCTTCAACTTCTGCGTCTCTTCAGAATGTTCATCCATGCCTCAAATTGCAGGTGGAAAAGCAGCAAAAACGCGAGTTCCATGTTCATTGAGCTGATTCTATTTTTAAGATGTCGTGTAGAGCTTTTTTGGTTCAAAAGCGGCAGACATTGGCAGTGAAAAAGGTGCGAAAACCCAGACTCAACGAGTCCAGCTCAAAGAGTCCAGCCAAGATGCTCTTATTGAGTGTGGTATATTGATCCATGAGCTTTTCTCTCTCTTGCTTGAGGTTCCTCGGTGCGTTTGCACACTGCACACGAAACAAAAGTCAATGCCCGACCAGACCATGACGTGCCCACGCCATCTGAAACAATGCTGACATCCGTGCTTCTGAAGTCGGTTCAGAAAGGAAGCAATCTGAGTCAAAATGGCTATCCGGTCGAACCTACAGGAAGCAAGACTTGTTCCTATAGATCCTACAGTACATGATCCTACAGGCCTACAGTGCCTCCTAAACATGAACCGGAAGAAGACGGAGAACATGTTCCATTCGACTTCTCCGAGCATCGTCATTTGCGTCTGCAGGTATTGCATCTCTTTCTCATTGCGATCCTGATGGGGCGACGATGGGCATCTGTTCTGTGAAAAGAATTGGACCTGACCTACAGTACCAGGCCCTATAAAGAAAAAGAAGTCCCAACTACCCAGTCTAAGGACCAGAACCTGAAACCCTGACTTCCCAGCTCTCTTCGCCAAGAATCTCTAAGGGCACAAAGCTGTTCATGTCGCTCCTGCGGTATGCTGTTAAAAGTTGGCTTCACCGGAATTACTGAGCTTCTCAGTCTACGAGCGAGCTGCTGGAAGGTATGTTGCGGGTATATCAATGTGCAATGTGTGAGTGGGCAAACGTTCGCAGTTGGTAAAATGTCGCAGAGTCTTGCACGCAAATCATTGCAAATCTGCGCACAGGTATCACAAATAAAAACAGTTTTTACTGTCCTCGGTATTCACTTCTTTGGGTACAGCATACAAATGCATACAGTAGTACACCTCCAGGAAAGAGGATGGCACAAGTTTTTCAATGATCAGTAGTTAACGGCCTAAAGGTAGATTGCGCCAGGTGTGCTCCACCTAAACGCTAAAATAACCTATTGATGGCGCAATTCAGCCTTTTTTGGCCGCAAAGATAGCGAGAGCGGCTTGCAAAACACGCTGCCAAAAATGGGTCATACAAGGCGCAATGCCATACATACATGTCAGAATTGGGCCAGGAATATCCTGAAAGTCAAGAATTGCACGATATTGCAAAAAAATATGTTAATATATTCAAGAATTGCACGAATTGCACAATATGTCCTGAATCTTGCAAAAAAACACTGTTCTTCTCAAGCCACGGGAAACATTTAATATTGCAAAACTCTGCCAACATTGAGGAAGTTGTTGGCGCAAATGCAACTGCCATGTGCCCCATTGCGCCATCTGTGAATATGCAACTTTGACATCGCCAAGCGTTCTGCAGAACGCCCTATAAACATATCTTTTTAAGCACATAGATGGCGCAATCGGGGTAGTATGGTATAAATAAAGATGGCTCACTGGCTCAAAAGAACATTTTCGCCATCTACTTTCACCCCGGAGTAGATGAATGGAGAATGACGAGCATACATATCCATCACGTCCGTTGTTCTTCCCAAACTTGAAAGGGCCAACTCCTGCTCTGTGCGGATGGAGGCATGTAGACCCCGGATCTCATTCTCAATGGCCAGCTCGGCCTCGAATCCAGCTAGACCATCGTGAGAGGTCCTTCTACCAGCAAAGAGGTTTTCTGAGTTTAGTAAAATGGATCCTAAGGCAGTTGAGTGAGGTGTCCTTGTTCCTTTTGGTTCCTCGTGCTAGTCACTACCGCTAGTGACGCCAGTGACTAGAGATCCGAGATCTGGGGCGTCTGCGGCTCAAACAAGAATCCAAGAGAAGTCCACCTCCAAAAACACTCGCCTGGCTCTTCAGCTCTTTCGTGCCGTTTCGATTCCCGCCTCGCTCTGCTCCTCCAGGGCCTTCTGCACGTTCTCGAGCGCTTCGTCCCGACGTTGCATTCCCACCAAGGAGGACCTTCGATGAACGAACCTCCACCGATCATGCCATGTCTGTGAGACTGATACGCTCCTGGGTCACGACACCGAACAGCCATATAACATCATATAACGACACGAAACCGTTGCCGCTTGTTGCCTTGTGCAAATGGCTCCAAGAAATTTACAGGTGTCCAATTCATGTCAATCACTGTGTGGTCTCGATTGGCTTGGTGTCACTCTCATACTCTTGCCAGTCACTGCCGGTGCTTTTGTTGACTCCAAAGCTTGCAGCCGGTGTACCTCCACTGCATCATTAACTGCTTCCTGAGTTCAATTCAGATCGGCGAGCAGCTGACATGTTAAGTACAATCAAATGCACGGACAGGTACCGGTGAAAGTTACAAGCTTTGTCTCGGAAAAGGAAGACGCCGAAGCAATAGTTGAGCGGACTCTTGGTTCAAGGGTGCTTTCTGAACAAAATCAATGTCAGTTTAGACAATCCTTGAGCCGTTCAATACCTGAAGGAAGATCTTGCTCTTCTGCTCGACACTAGCAGCACATCTGGCAGAGTTGGTTGAAAGAACTGGTTGAAATTACCATTGGTGACTCGATGTCTATCATCTCTTTCCCAACCTGTTCGAAACGCTACAGAGACGCACTCACCATCCTGTTATTCATCACCATCCATCATCCAACACCAACCTTGAAGTGTCCCTCAGTTGACTCTTGTTTCTTCCCCTATCTACTTGTACTCTCTCCCCACAACCTTATCCAACCGCCAAGGTGCTTCTCAAACTGAATTGCTTCCATCTCGCGACTTGCCTCCCGCAGCGTCGCCATGGCCGCCTCCGTCTCCTGCTTTTGCGCCGCAATCTGCGAGTCAAGCAAGGCCTCACGGGCAGCCGCGCAATGGTGCATATTGCACCAGGGGTGTGCCCTGAAAAATCCGGCTTGCTCCAACCACGGAAGCAATCCAGCACATTCCTGCAGCAATTCTTCAAGCTGCACTGATGCCAGCTGTACATGGATTATCCCATTGATCACTTGGTCACGACAATTACAACAGCATCCCAATGATGTTTTTAGTTGCAGCACGGATGAGCTCTTTGCACAACTTTCTCCAGGCTTTGAATGGTATCATAGAAAAACAATGACAAACATCTACACACCCAACATCTCACGCCTTTCGCTCCGTTAGGCGTTTAATGTCTTCATTCATCGAGTCGATGAGAAGGTCTTGCCTGATCACACGGCAGCTCGTGGGGAAGTTCAATTTTGGGGGTCGTATCGATTGGTGGACGATGGTTGTATCGATTGGTGGGATCTATCTCAAACGTCAAACCGAGTCACGCCCCACACCGGGTCAAACCGATGGCGAACGATCAGAGACTGATGGGAACAATCGGGCGACGATCGGGCCGTGCACGATCGTGCACGTCAAGTGAGGCCCAGGTGCTTGCTCTTGACCTCCTCCATCTGCTTAATGTGATCCTCGCGTCAGATTCCATTCCTATGGCGTCTTCTGCCCACAAAGCTTCTTATGGCGTCTTCACCGTCTTCAGGCTTCATTTCCTGTTCTTTGAATATGTCGAGTGTCGGCTTCAGGCAAAGCGTGATAATTAGATGTGATACTCTGAAAAAGACCAATTCAAACATGCCTAAAGCCTCTTCAAGGGTTGGAAGCCGCGACGTTGCCACCAAACAAACACTCTTGCCACCAACCCTCCCATCGGCATGTGGGGCACCTCCGCCTTGTAAGTGGCTCGTCTGGTGACCTGGATCTCCGCCTTCATCTGGTCATTGTATTCCTTGACCTGGCCGGTTCGGAGACGCACGACGCATGATATGCGGAGACATCAATGATGTGGCAGAGCGGAACATCTTTGGTGCTTAGACTTAGACTTCGGTGTCCCTGTCTTCGTCTTATTTTGCTCTATGTGAAACAGGATCAAGAAACAGAAACGCAATTGAACATCGCAAATACTGTGGTATCGGTATCGATGCATCAGGACCCAAATCCCCAATCAATGTTATGTGCCTGTCGCACGGTGACATTCAGCGTGTTCAGCTCGTCCTTCAGATTATTGTCTTGGTGTGTGTGTGTGTGTCAAAATCTGACTTGAAGCCGCCAGTATTTTTAGAGAGCGGGGGACTGTGAGAGTGCAGTGTTTTAATTGTTTTTTAAAAAGTGTTTGGTATCATTTGATGCTCAAGATATGCAAAGATGCTTGTTTCACTCCCGGGCAGAAGATACCACTCTACTCTAACATGGGGCCTGGGTTTTGGTTTTCCCAAAATTTTAGGTAAATGCTTCAGTGGTAGCCCCTCTCCATATAAACACGTATATATATAATCTGTTCCTGCTCTCTCTATATGAACAAATATATTATGTATTCCTGAATCAGGGTTTTGGAAGCAGCAAGCAGTCATTCAGATGGTTTTGAACAAAATAATTAGGAAAGAAGCAGGCCATAAAAGTGTCTCTAGATCTCTGCTTATAATTATGTTTAGATTTGGAAAGATTTTATATAGACGCGTTTATGTTACACAATATTCTCTATAGATCTCTGCAGATAATCATTTTTTAGATTTAAACAACTATATAGAAACCTTGTAATGTTAAAAGCTTTATTCTAGATTTCTGCGGGTAAGAGCTTGCATTTTCAAAGTTTTCCTCTGGATCTTTGGGAAAGTAGATATCCCATATATATATATGTGTGTTTTCATGAAATGAAAGCTCTTGAAAGAATACAATATTTATTGATATATAGCATGTTTAAATTGACATGATCATTTCCAGAGATCCAGAGGAAAGCTTTTGAAATGAAAGCTTTTATATAGTTTTATTGTAGAAATGATCATCCACAGAGATCTAGAGGGAAGCTCTTGACTTAGAAGCTTGTACACAAAACAAATTTAATATGTCTATATTATTTCCAGTGATTACTGCAAATAAAAAAAATCTAACTGTTTACTTCAAAAAGAAGTTTTAGTCTTGTTCCCAGTACTCCCAGTATAAAAAATACGGTAAAACCTGGGGTTTTGTAGCATGTGTTTTCTTAAACTAAATAGACTAGAGCTAGAATAGAATTAGGTAGAATTAAACTGGATTTGAGTTAGAGCCAAGATAGAACTGACTTAAAACCGAATTTCAACTAAACGTGTAAAATTAGATGAGGAATTGGAATTAAAATTAGAAGTTCGCCAGAATAAGATGTAAACGCTTGAGCTACAACATGCACAAGTCGAGGAGGCTTCGAAATTTCAAAGCCAAAGCAAAAGCAACAAGCATTGAATTAGAACTACAGCTTACACAGATTCATAACAATTTCATGTAAATTGGAAGGTATCATTACAGTTTCATGTCAAGCTGATTGGACATGCAAATGGCAACCACATTGATACCAATCAGAAGTTAATGCACAGACTTGTACATGGAGATTTCGACAAGGACAAAGGGAGTGGTGGGCTCAGACGCTTTCATTGTAAGAGCAAAGAACATATGCCTTTAGGTGAGACTTAGGCTCACATACTTGAAGGTTGAACGAAATAGTAAGAACACAGATTGACCTAAATAGGAAAACCAAAAAAACAAAAAACCTTGAGAAAACCAATAACAACCTAGGAAAAGCCAAAAAACCTTGGGAAAACCAAAAAACAAAAGAACAAAAAAAAACAATTCTGGGGAAGTCTTGAGGAAAGGGGGGGTCCAGCCAAGAGCCTCTGAGAATTGTTTTTTTTTGTTTGTTTGGTTCTTTTGGCTTTTTGTTTTCTTGGTTTTCCCAAGGTTTTTTGGCTTTTCCTAGGTTGTTATTGGTGTTCTCTATATTTTCTCGAGACTGTTTGTGTTTGTTTTCCAGTGCAAAGGACATTGAGGCAGCTTTCACAGACACATAGCATGAATGCAGGCCACAGTGGGAAGTTTATAGCACATAGATGGAAGTAGGCAGCAAGAACACATAAAATACGCACTCTGGTGGTCCCCTGTTCTGTATTTTTACCATTGGGAAAAATTAGGAAAAAGCCATGGTACCTTGAAAGGATGTCTTGGCATGCTCTGATTGAATTTACATCAAAAGAAACTGGTAACTTCTAGACTTGGACTACTTTGGGGCCAGGCCCCTCCCTTCCGAACCCACCACACCACGCTTTCAAGTTATTTTTCCTGAAACCCCGCTGTGTCCTGCGACTTGGCGAGTCTCCTGGTGGCCTCTTCCACCTCTCCTGCATGGCGATCGGTCACGGTCACGGCGGCATCGGTCACAGAATCGAGTTGCGACAGCAGTGAATCCAAAATACAGAAATCCAGCAACTGTAAATCAAGCTAATGGCGTCCTTGCCCCTAGTAGCGATGCCAGGAGCCCCTAGTAGCGAACGTTGCTCCTAGTAGTAAGGCCAGGAGCCCCTAGTAGCGTCCTTGCTCCTAGTATACCAATGGCTGTGGGTTCAAAGAAGGGGTCCTTGGTTGACTACAGAAAATGAACAGAATGTGACTACCACACAGACCAACCTACCGGGGTTGTGGGGCAACCATATTGTGTGCAGGAGTGGTAGGAGTAGGAACCTAACAACTACGGAATAACTACAATAGGTGAACATATCAAAGGCAAACTGTGTACACGCGGTATCGCGCATGAAAAACAAATTAGTGTGGATGTTCAGATGCATCTAATTCAAGACGAATCTACAGTGGGCGACCAAGACAAGAGGCGGATATCACGGTTTGCTCGGTGATGCTTACGAAGTGTCTCATGATTTTTCTTATTTGCGGAAAGGCAACTCGAGCAGATCATCTAGTTGAAAGTCGTGCAGCACCCCTGGAATGAAAATTGGTGCATTTGTGCGGAATGGTGGGTCACTATTCCCTATCGAGGCTGGAGATGTGGTCTGAGACTACGTATATACAGTGTATATATAGATATATATATATATATACATAGCATGGCCAAAGACATGCCTAATCTCCCGAAATCTAACGCTAACAAACGCTAACAAGCTCTTACATCTACTCTTAGCATAGATAGGTAGGGATCAATTTTGGATGGCTCATAGTCTCATAGTTTCCAAAGTTTGCACAAATCGTTCGCAGAGCGTCAGCTTGGAGACGCGCACAACGTTTGCTCCATGGGAGGAGCTGAACTTCTGGGGAATCTATGGCGTACGGGATCGCTTCTCCTTTACCTGGCATCCGAATAGACATCTGCATACCTGTTGCAAGTCTAAAAGAAATCGTAAGCTCTGGCCAGCTTATACCGGGGTCTGCAGATGGGTGTGATCCAGGTGGGGGCCACAACCCCACAAACTGGCGACAAAAATGTGCGGAGGGGGCAGAACAACAGGCATAAAACTTCCACTGCACAAATTGAATTTTAGCTCCTGTTTTTTTTCCCTGGGTATTAGCTAAGGCATTCTGCATATGCTATTTGTGCAAGCGAGCCTCGACAGGGTCGTCATGTCTATGCACGTACTCTTTATTAAATTCAATGACTTTGAAGCTTCTGTTGTTTGTTCTCCTGATGCACACAGACTTGGTCAGGAATAGAATAGGCTTAAAAGCGGTGCATTCGGTGTCACTTAAAGCCTTGGATATGTCTAAGATCCTCCCATGACGCAGCTTCATTCGGGTGTCGATGGGACGTGACCTTGCGAATAACAATACATGAGTGGTGGCCTAAGGTTGATATCGGGTGAATAGAAGCAGTCTGGGAACTATTCTTGCGAAACTCCTTGGACACTCTTCGCCGCGGTTTTTGGTCGGGTCATGTCGGTCCTTTCTTCCCCTCCCAGTCGACAGTGATCTTCTTCAAGGCTTCATCATCCTGGAGTAAGAGGGTCGAGCCAATTGGCTTTCCAGCCAGAAACCCTGGCAAACTGCAATGCTGCAACTCAGTGGATCAGCAATGTTGAGTTCTTAGATTCTGTTTGAGGTTACAACAAGCTTGTCAAGGCCGGAAGAGGTCGGAACCAAATGTTCACTAGTACACACAGCAAGAACTCATGTCTTTGCATCTGTCTCAGCTGGATCCAACTCTGCGTTCCCTCTCCTCTAAGCGCTGCCCTTGACACATAGCGTACCTGGAAAGGGACAGTCTTGGTGTCAGCTGCATGCCAATGTAATCTAAACATCGTTTCCTCGGACAGCAAAGCAAGACAGGCAGTTCTTGCAAGGCAGCAACGTGAAGAGGAAGAACGCGCACGGGGAGCTAGCGATCGAACATGCAGAAGAATACAAACAGTGGTATATTTTCCCACGCAGCCTTTCACTGGATCTCAGGTTCTGAATGTTGGTCTGTTTCTTCTGTTGGTCTGTTAGTGCTTGTGCGGGTTGGCTGCTTGCAGGTGGCTCTTTTTCCACTGTGTCAGACTGTCAGCAAGCAAGCAAGCAGGCAGGCAGGCAGGCAGGCAAGGCAAGGCAAGGCAAATCAAGGCAAGGAAAAGCAAAGCAAAGCAAAGCAAGCAAGCAAGCAAGCAACGCAACGCAAGCAAACATAAAAGCCTTTACAGCAACAGTTGAAACCAGCGAACAGCAAGCTGGAGCAAACCAACTGGCATAACTAGCGATGTCAACTGAACCAGTAAACAGCAAGCGGTAGCAAACCAATTGGCCTAGCTAGATGGCCATGTGGCCAATTTACATTCAAGAAAACAGAAACCAACGTCCACGTTGCACATGTTGGCAAGAAACCAAAGATGTCCGCCTACATAGCAAGGCCAAACACGGGAGAGAACTTCCAATGCCGGGCACTTATCGTGCAGCTGCTCCAGCTGTAGTTGGAGCTTGGCAAGCTGTTGTTGTGCTCCATAGAGCGTGACACCTAGAGCTAGATGGTCTGAGTCTAACGGAAGCCAAGCACGCAAAGGTCTGCGAAGCCAAGCGTTGCAGCAGCTTCTCAGAACTATCTTATATGCATGGCCATGTTCCTCTCGTTATTACGTTGCTCAGGACTTCGATGCTAGTGCATCAAACGTCCTCATCTGAGTGCAGTATCGAGAAGGCATGTGGCAATGTTAGCTGTCAGCTTTGCCCATGGATGTCTGTGATCCTGCCTATGTCCTCCCTATGCTTCACCAGCTTTTTCAGCTCCTGCGGTGGCAAGATCACCCACAAGGTCTTCACCCAGCTTTACACTGTGCATCCAAGATCCAAAATCATCTGTATGCCAAGACAGTCCTTCCAAAATCCCCACAAGATGCCAGGTCCTAATTGGATTGTCGCGACCAGCGATCATCTCATCTGATTCGTCTCCTCCTGCTTCTCTCGGAGCTGCAAGGAGACCCGATCATGGTGACCGGTCAGCTGCTTCCGCCAAGCTTCTTGGAGCCTGCAGGCTACGGGCGGAGGCGGGTTGTTTGGCCCTTATTTACTTGGTAGTTGAAGTGCAGCAAAATCTGAAATGTCCTTGCAACGCTGCACCTTTGAACAGTGACAGGGTGATCCTATCTGAATCCAGGTATGAAGGGTTGGATTTGACGCAAACCTAGAGAAAATAAACGAAGCGAGTCAGCTAGTGGTGTTGCCTAAACACCAACCCAAGGAGTCTCCCGCCTCTTGTACGCTGGATGATCTGCCTTCAGAAAGGGGAAATCTCCCTGAGCCGGTGCAAGGTGCATCTGGAGATGTTGCAAATCGGAAAGCTGGGTATATTGTACGATGCATCTAAAACTAGACATCAATAAAACTGCGGCAATATGCGAACATAAAAGAAGTCCTATTGATCCTCAAACGAAAACAAGGCAACTCAGCAACATAGCAACCGAAAACTAAGCAGAGGGAGGGTTGATGATTTTGGCAAACAATCTGTTTGGTTGTGTGTGTCCTGCGCAGGAACTGGATTACAATAATCAGGCCATATCAGGCCCTTTGTCCAAACCCTTCTGAGAGTCGTTCGTCATCGATTTCTTCATCACCGTCCTGGAAAAGCACGACGTGACAATGGGAGTACCACATTGATCTGACCCATCTGTTGTTCCATTAATTCCGATGGCGAGAACGCATCAAGTGCGCCGCTTGGACCAATGACTACCAAAGCACTGCTTCCTGTCCAGAAGAACTGAGATCAAGAGGGTCTGCAAATCATTGCAAATCCTTTCCAAACGCCATTCTAGTGAGAAAAATGCCTACCTTGCGCTTCATGGTGGCATGCGATATGACAAGTGGTACAGTTGGATCAAACCGACATTAGAGCAGAAACCCTGGAATGTCAGCGGCCACGTCCTGTGGGCCATCGTCCGCCATGATAAAAGCTGGGGCGGTTCACCTCCAAAAGGACACATCACAAGCCTTGGACCTCCACGTGCTGAAAACAGGGTATCTCAGTATCTCCAGATCTTTGGAACCTCTGAAATCTTGGTGAAAGAGCGCAACATCGATTCATTTCAGATCGTGTCTCTCGCTTTGACTGGTTTCTCCAAACTCTGGATCTGGCGTGTCCGTGTCAATTCATCCACCTTTCGGCGGTGTTGTGAGAGGTGCCTGGGCAAAAAAGGCACCTCAAATCTCCGTCTGCCGAGGTCCCCGGCAGTGCTTTCCGGGCACTCCTGGGCACTCCCTTTGAGAGGCATCTATTGTTCCCTTCCGTCTGCGGGTCCCGGCGGCGAGAAGAAGAATGGACAAAAAGAAGACAGAACCTCCAGAACCTCCAGGACTATGATTGCATGATCACATCGCCAGTGATTGACGCCATCTGTGGACACAGGTCCCCCGAACAGTCTGTTGACCACAGGTCCCAGAAATCCCTCTGCCCCTCTCTGATCAGCGAGAAATTCCTGAACCCTGAGGCTGTTCATTTTCCTGCGGGCAGTGCAGATTCGCATATGTAACAAAGGTTGCTGCATGCAGAAACAAATTCAAGCCTGGCTTCATGCTGTGAGCAACTTGTCCAACGAAAAAAGCTATCCAAGTCTTTGCAACAAAAGGCTTGGAAGGAGCCTGACTACCACAATGTTCAAATGATACATACAGAATCTCATGCCTACTCCGAGAGTAGGGCGAACTTCAAGTCAACAGCAGTTCTCCTAAACCTTCATACTAAAGCGCTTGGCGAGTCGATGACTACCAAGGTCTTACAAAAGAAATATGACTAAAACCTCTTACAAGCACTTTTAAGCAATCATCTGTGCAGGAAGCCAGATGGATGATTGGAAGGTGGAAATCAGGCTGTGAAAGCAAATGGTGCCTTGAGGGTGCGAGGGTAGAAACCTTGGCTTAGCATGTCAGTGCCACACATGTGCTTCCTTCACCTGATTCCACTCTCTCGTTCATTTTCGACCATGCATACAATGGTGAAAGAGGCGGAACGTAAGAAGGATCCGCGAAAGAAAAAGAGGCGAAACTGTGAGAGGAAATGATGTCAAATTCATCGTTGTGGACAGGGTCACTGATGTGAAAGGATCTGATTGTTCATCTGCTGTTGAGGAGTTGATTTTGGGCGATCTGAGCTTAGCTTTTCGGCGATCCCTGGCTCTCTCGTTCGATCCACTCAGTAGGAGGGGTTCTGAGGAGATGAGCACCAAGGGCACTCCTGGCGAACCCGAAAACCGCGACCAAAATGATTCCAATGACCCAAATGTTTCTCTTGGAGTCTTTTGGAGTCGTAGTTCTTTTTCCAATGTCGAAACGATCTGATGTTGGGATAGTCTCTCACGTTGTTCTCAGAGGCAGGGTATTTAATGTATTTACAGAGGTGCCACTAGCCTGCAAGAATACTATATGACGATGGACAGTATCGGGACCGTACTCACATGTATCTAGCCCTCTTCATACACCCTACTGCAACTTATGCTGCAGGGAAAGTGGCCTGCCTGTGTGATCCAACGACAAGCATGGGGAAAGCATGGGGAATTCCCGCCAATTCTGTCTCCATCTGAGAACAACCGCCTTGACATCACTGAGGGCAAAACACATTCAGATCATGAACTGTTTAACGTTTAACTTGGAGCTTCCACCGCATCCATCACCTGCTCTTGGCCCATCCTTGAATTGCTGCACATAGATATTCCAGTCGTCCCGATTCGCCGCAACGTGGCACACCTCGATCCAAGGTCACAAAGCGATCGCAGAAGTTCTAAGTTCTCCAGCACAAATCTAGTCGCTAGTCACGCATCCAAGGTTGTTCAGCAAGTGTCAGTTGAATGCCCATTGTCCAAGGCAACAACATCAAGAGTCTATACAATACACGAGACCCCGGATGTTTATCCACATGAAATGTTCGACAAAGGTCAAGACTTTGGAGGAGAGTCACTGCAACCAAAGAGCTGTACACTCCACGCGGCTCTTCTTTAAGACGGGGAAGCCAGTCACTGCCTCAGGTGAGTCGTCTTCGTCTTTGATTCGGAAAAATGAGCTTCCCCTGAGCGCCAAGTGGGTAAGGGATCAAAACAAAAATAAAAGGGAATCAACAAAATATTCAACGGGGATCAAAAAAACATAAAAAGGGAATCAAAATATATAATATTCTAGCGCACTGAGGATGGTTGGGGTTGAGCATCGGCTCAACAAGCCGTTACATTCCATCACTACGTGAAAAGCTGCGGGGCTATTACACTTGAATGTTCACGCATGGTCCGGCCAAAGAAGGAGGACAGTCTGCAAATGCGATCGGCGACCCTTTACATAGTTTGTTTTCGTGGCAGGCGCAGTGCAAGAGTGCAAATTTCGTGGTGCTGGAGGGGGGTTGGGGAGGGCGCTGCGCCTCCCCAAAGCGAACCAAACGTTAAAACACAGCACCACAAAAGAAATCAGTAGAAACTATGTACCCTATCGCCCTTTCAGTGAAGGCATCTGAAAGTGCACAAAAAGGACCTAAGGCAACCGAAACCAAAAGCATTGTACTTTTGCAGGAAAACTGCGGCCAATAAGCTACAAGAGAAAGGACCAAAGGCATCAAAAAGCATCAGTGAAAGAACAAGGAGAAAACCATAGGAAACCCGCAGACCAGAGGACCAGGAGGGCAAAGGACCAGGAGACCACGGGACCAGACCAGGACCAAAGGACCAGGGGGTGAAAGAGCCTGTGGACCAGAGGACCAAGGGACCAAGGGACCAGGGAACCAAAGGACCAGTGGACCAGCGGACTAAAGGGCCAGGAGCAGAAGAGGCCTATAAGGAATAGTTTGTTTGATCCGTTTTTATCATATGTTTCTTTTTGTTTATGATCTTCTTATTTTTTTGTGGAAGCTCAATTTATAGTTTGTTGATCTAGATGCCCCAAGTCACCCCAAAATAAAAGAAAAGAAACAAATGACTATACATAAATGACAATCACAATACTCAAAAGCACAGAATTTCTGAGCTCGTCTAAGTTCACTACACATGGATCGTTTTGTGTCCCACATCTCCTGCAAGGCGCGCTCAGCTCAAAGTGTGCAGCACCCACAGAACACAAGGGTCACAGCAAAACACCGCCAAACACACACACAGAAACACGATCCACAATGATCACGAGTCAGCTGTCGGCACTAGCGGCCCAAGGGGGCTCTCTCGGGCCCCTGGCGTACAAATGAGGCTGCCCCCGTAAATGTGGTGGCCACACCTGCCAGATGTGAAGAGCAGCCTGTTTTGAAAAGGTGTTTATGTTGCAAAAACAGTTGGAATGGAATGGAATTGGAATAAAATGTTGGATGTCGGACCGAATGAAAAAATTGCAATCACCACATGGACTGGAAGGCGGCCAGTTTTCCGTCTATGCATGGAGAACAAATCAAACGCACCATCTTGAGTGCATTTACCTCTAATGCAGTGTGTGGCTTACTGTCCGACCCCTTCGTTTTCCAATTTGCAGATCACTTCGTGTCGTAGAGAGAGAGAGAGAGATCGGCTCTGGGTATCGGGTATCCACTATGGTGCGAGAAGTCAAGTCGACTTGGACAAGTGAGCTTGACTTTTCTTGCGCTCACTTTTCCACGCAAAAAAAATGAGCTTGACTCGCATGTTTCTCCCATTCATATGCAGTCGCTGGTGTTGACACACATATGTCCTCCAAGCTGGATTACGCAATTCAATCTTCATTTTGCTGGGGTACCGCATCGTTGAAAGTGTCGCACAAGTGTCAGCTGCTGGATCTGTGAAAGTGGTCTGCAGTCCACAAGGGAATTCATCCACGGGATCGACCTCGTCACATGTGCTGGTTGTTGTCTAGCTAAAATGCCTCCCTACAGCTCTCCTGTATTTAGGAAGCATGAATTCAGAATGATACGGATCAAACAAAGAGCACGAATTCGATTCTACGAGTCTATGGGACACTTTTTTGTTGCTCCGTTTTCGTATTACCCTGCGGCGTATGTTGTTGACATTTATTGACTGCATCCCGCATCTGGAACTCAAGTCTGTTGCAAGCGGGCCGGGATTGCTTGTCACACTGTCGCAAGTCCATCCTTAGGCGCAAAAGTTGGAGATTGTACACGCAAGAATGTTGACATGGAACCTGGCAATGGACCTTTGGAAGATTAGCTTCGTTAATCTTCCCGGGTGTAAATTTGGCAGATTTGCCCAGATCTCACTGATTCCAAAGCTACTGAGCCCCGAAGACACCAGCACTTTTGTTTGCGGCCAAATCCCATTCCCAGACTTCCAGAACGAACCACTCCAATTCTGAACCGCCCGAATTCTCGGCCCCAACCACATACTGGATCACAAGGTGGACCATTCGGATCCGCCCCACGGTTTTGGGGTCTCCAAATACTTCACAAGCTACCTAGTAGCTTCTAGCTAGTAGCTTCTTGTAATGGCCTCCACCCTAGTAGCGATGGCACCTAGTAGCGATGCCAGGAGCCCCCAGTAGCTTCTTGCTCCTAGTAGAAAGGCCAGGAGCCCCTAGTAGCGTCCTTGTTCCTTGTAGCGATGGCACCTAGTAGCGCCCCATTGGTCCAAGCGTCTTTTGCTGTACAGATTGATCCATAGACCATCCCAAGACCCAGTCGCGGATTTCCTCCACCTGGACACACACGAGGCAAGGGAGACACAACTTCTTCCGGCAAGTCCTATTCCTATGGTGGACGATTTCAAGCGCATCTTGAAAGTGAAAAGAAAACTATGTTTCGTGCCAAAAATGACAGCTCAGATTGTTTTGTAAAAAAATGTTTGAGACAAATGTTCTCGATACACTACACTGGCAGAATGGTATTTGCTGTCAAGAAACCTACAGAACGACTCAACTGCCTGGCCAAAGCGTTTTGCTCTATCGTCTCGCTGTAGCAAGTTCCAGGCACCTTCTCACTCGAGACATGGTTTTGATCTGGAAGATCCAAGTCCTTGGAAGCTCTGGTGTGAAAGCTGCAAGCATTCCTTTACTCCTGAGGCACCGGCATATGGCGATGGGATGTCAGTGTCCATAAAATCTGTGTTATCGATGGCTGCGTTCCTTACAAAAACCGTCGGCTCGAATCAACTGACCGAACGTGTCGATGAGATCAGGAACCAACGATCGTCTGCCAAAAAGAGCCTTGCATGTATGAGTCTGCCCCCCAAAAGACTGTTTTCGCTCGAGAGTCTCAGGGTCATCGATGGCATCTGCAATGTCTAGGAAGCGATTCAAGAAGAAGAAGGACATGTTGATCATGCCTGGAGAAGGAGGTCGCCCAGGGTTCGAAGGTCTTCCGGCAGCATTGAAAGTCAAGGGCATAAAAAAGAACAATGGAAAAAGAGCAGATCACTTACGATCGAACATAAAAGATCAAATTATAATGTATGTTGGCCGTGACAAATAGATTTGATATAATTGTGTACTGTGTGTTAAGCCCAAAAGCTCCGATCTTCTTGCCCAAAAGGATCTAGAGATCTTCAACCCATTATGTTCACATGTCGATTTCTCATTAGGGTATATTAGGGTTATGATTTATATAACCAGTCTTTGCCATGTTGTCATGCTTGGTCTCTTGTTGTCACTTCTGGTGCTCTTGAACATGGTCATACATGATCCAAAGTTCGCATGGCTTGCGAGCATCTGTGGGCATGGCTTACTCAGTACCTGTCACATGTCCGAGTTTGGTCCATCTTCTGTGGCGCCTGCTTCCTTGCAGTCCAAACCAGCACTGTAAAAGGCGAGATCCATCGGGAACTCGGAACAGTAGCCTCAGGTCGCAGGATCCGTCGGACCCGGGGCCGAGAGCCGGTCGCGGAGCCCCAGATGAGCCTCCGGGCGACACAGGGACAAACTGATTTTGGCCACCAGCTCCGGGGCCATGTGACGTTCACGTAGCCTGAGGTCGGTCCATGATCTGATCATTCACCGTGTTTGGGACCACATGTTTCTAGTTACACGCATCAACAGCACCTAAATCTCATTGCAATTGCGGAACGCCAACACCTCTACTGAAAGAGCAGCTTCCAAAAAAGACTTCACCGTTCATTGCCCTGTTCCCCATCTCCCAGCGTGGCCTTTCCCTGATTGTCATCAAATGCGACGCCATCAATGCCTGCCCGGTGAGATCGCTGGCCCTTCGAACTCAGCGTCCAAAGCCGCCCATCGGACGTTCGTTCACCGTCCCAGTGATCTGAGAGGAATAGTAGCTTCTTGTTACTTCTTGTTACTAGTAGCGATGCACTTGTTTCTAGTAGCTTATTGTTTCTAATAGCTTCTTGTTACGACTAGTAAGGCACCTGTTACTACTAGCGTGGCACTTGTTACTACTAGTAGCTACTAGTAGCTTCTTGTTACTAGTAGCGATGGTCTCCAACCTAATAGCGATGGCCTCCACCTAGTAGCTTCTTGTATGAAAAAGGACTTGTGGACTGAAATCAGCGGACACAGAGAGGAACGCACCCTTTCTGGACGATGGGATGATGAGACCGGTGATGATCGCTCTGGGAGAGTACCAGCTCGACGATCGAATCGAGTGCAATGGTCCAACTTCTGCCACAAGCAGTTGAGACTGTTGTCGTCACCATGCTTGTAACGATCCCAGAGTCATCAGGTTCTCATAAACAACTATATAAAAAAATGTATGAGCGCTCTAAAACTAGAAAGCTCAAAATATGCACGTGCCACATACCATCACAGCGCCAGTTAGTAGTGGCAAACACGTTCCCCGCGTTGGCCCATCGCCCGTTTCGAGCTGCGCCTTGAGGAACTCCGCCTGCGGCCGTCGGTCCTCTGCCAGGATGCTCGGTGTGGGCGGTGCTGGCGCGGTGCTGCGTCGGTGGTTGAGGCACTGACGTCTGAAGCGTTTGGACGTCTGTGTCACAAAAAAAAGCATCCCAATTCAGGACTTGCATGGTACTTGTGAGACGAAATGAGCCGAATACCCAGGTGTTGTCTCACGAAGCCGAGAAGCGCGTAAGTTTTACGCACTACATTCTGGGATTTGGATCGTCCACCGTTTCGGCCTTTCGTGGGCCGTTTTGGCCAGTTCCACCGTTCCTGCTGTTTCAGCCGTTTCAGCCTTGCCCGTACCACTAAAAAACGGCCGTAGTAGCGTCCTTGCTCCTAGTAGCGATGCCAGGAGCCCCTAGTAGC